TTTTATCTTTTTTCATGGCAAAAATTTGAAATTAAATATCATAAACTTGAAGTGAAAAGTACTTAGCTGGCTGGAAAAAAACACTATAAGTTGTTTAGTCATCTTGGTCATAGTCTTCAGCATACACTTGTGCATCTTCGCCTTGCTTTAACTTATCCAGATCTTCGTACTTGGTCAACTTTATAACAGTCGATGAGTCATCTTTTCGAAGAAAAACAGCCGTGCTTTTTGACCAACAAAACTTGTAATCATTTGCACTTTTAAAACGCTTTGTTTCGTATAACAGACTTTGCAGCCTYGGGGTTAAGTGATGGTAAATACTAACGTGTTTCAAGGTCATGAAAGGAGGAAGACCAAGGTCACTTGGGGTCAAATTACGTAACGCCTTTTTGGCAGCCATTACTTCTTCCTTCGCTAAAYGGCGAGTAAACTTGCAAATAATAGGATCAGGATAATTTTGTCCGGGGCGACTAGGCTTCCTCTTAGGAACTCTATGAGCAGTGTCGATGTCTTGTAAAGTGACATCACTTGCACCCATACTGTGAAAAATCTTTAAGCACAGATCTGCAGTGGAAMGGGAAGATTCTCGTATCTCTGTTTGAGGGACGCCAACGATCTTGATGTTGTATTGATAGCTATATTGCTGGATGCTTTCAATAACTTCGTCAATCTGATAAATCTTAATTGAGAGCTCTGCTAGTGTAGTAGAAATTCGGTTAATTTCGCGACTAAATGTGGCACTCGAAGCCGAGAGCCCATCGTACTCATCACTGAGAAACTGCAATCCTTTGGCTTGATCTGTTAGTTGAGCACAAGGGGCTTCTTTCTCGACTGCGGATTTAAGTTTTTCCATGTCTTTAGCTAATTCCTTAAGCTGTTCTTTTAAAGCGTCATTTTCCTTTCTTAAAGACTTTAAATTGTCTCCCATATTAGTCAAATTTAGTTTTAAATCAAAATTTACAAGATCTTCGCGGAGCGAAAACTCGACGTCCGTACTCCGTGACGACCAGTTCAAAAAAATTTGCCGTATGCCGTATTGGGAGAAGATTATCTATCTATAAATTTAGTCAAAATATATAATCTAATACTTCAATTAACAGTCCTAAGGCACAAAAATAGTCGTTCAAAGTGTCGTTACGAAAGACCTTTTGGTTTTTCTTGGAGCGAGTTTCGAAATTCACTAATTTCACGCTCGCGCGTCCCGTTGAATAGTCAAATTCGTTTTTCGCTTCTAAAAAAATTAAAAATGATTTTTCCAAAAAATAATTTGTACCAGTGTACTAGCCTAATAGTAGGCTTTTTTCAGGCAAAGTTGGAGGTAGAGTTATTTTTGGGTTATTTCCTGCTTTGTTCGATCCTTACACGGACTGCCTCTTAATTAATTGTGACCATGTAAAGGAAGTCGAACCCACAGTGTATTATTTGATGTTACTATCATGGACTGGGCTGGCATTTACTATTTAACTGATCTGATAATAAAACAATAAATAAATAAATAATTAGACCTGGACAACATCTTTCATGATGGAAATACTTTATTAACGCAATTGGAATTTCGTTTACATCTCAAATGAGTACCATTAATCATAAATCTCATACAGCATTGCATGCTTAATCTTTAAATATCTAAAGTGCAAGGGACCTTCTCTAATCCAATTTGGTYGAAGTTAGCTTGGTTTGCCACGATTCATAGCCCCGTCACTCACAACTCATTCGTCTCCGCAAGATGACGGAAGTGGCTTCTCAGGAAGAAGTGTCGGGAAATACGAATTCCAGAAGGCCATTCTGAGTGGATGGTATTTGCTGGTCATGAAAGGATTCGTCTGGATCTTCRAGTAAGCCTTCTTGGACGAGTCAAAGTTGTCCCATTTCAAACCATGCACACGTCTCGGGGTCGGGTTTCCAAATTTAGCAAAATTGGTAAACATGGTCACTACCATATCGCTGACTTTTTTATCTTTCTTGTCAAACTTTAGTTTTGTTTTGGARTTAAGAAGCGGRAGACCAAACTTGTAGGCTGTTGTATCTTCGTGAACGACCCCCATCCATTTCGGCTTTGGATGGTATCTAGAGCGATGAGCAAACTCAAACATGTAGGTAGGAGCACCATGATCACTATGGATGGTCAAGGCAGCATCGGTTGGAGCAATGAAATTGTGATCTGACCATATTTCTGTAAACTTTTCACGGAACCGGGTAGGGTTGTTCAGGTCATCCCATGGTGTATATTGAAATTTTAGAGCGTTATAAACAATGCAGGCCTTATCCTTTGCAAGATTGTATTGACCAGACAGAAAGAATTCCAGATAATCACTGAGACCTGTAGGATTGTATGCTGTATTGTAATTTTGTGAATACCATTCTACAACCAAAGAACCTTCTTGGCTCACAAAGCCTGAGATTAAAGGGAGCTTCTGGAATCTTCCTTCTTTTCTTAAAGTTTTGGGCTCGTCTGGGAGAAAGTGTTGGTCAACGAACGGTTGCAAGAACCAATATATTTCGTTATTAAAGAAACTAGTGCTTGGAACTGATTTTAAGCACTGAAGTATTTGTAGGCTGCTAGATTTCGTACAGTTAAACACCCTGACCAATTCCTTGCTGTATTCTAGAACCGTAGACTTAGGTTTGTAGGCGAAGGGAGAGAGGTCTACACCACTCACTGCAATACCACGATGAAATAGTCCTCTAGACAAGGGTGATAAGTAGTGTAAACCCACATCAGATCCTCCTGAGCTTTCACCAAGGAGAGTCACGCTGTTCTTGTCGCCACAAAAACCCTCGATGTTTTGTTGAACCCACTTGAGGGCCTCTACCTGGTCAAGAAGACCTACATTTCCAGGTGCCTCTGAGTCCCCAGTTGTGAAGAACCCAAATGGTCCAAGTCGATACTGGATAGTGACAAGAACCACACCGCGTGTGGGCAAATACTCGCCTGGGGAAATATCACGAGCAGGAGAACCAAAAAAATTGCCTCCCCCGTGGATATAAAAGATAACTGGGAATTTCTTTGTACCTCTTGTGCTTGGAGTGTAGATGTTCAGGTACAGGCAATCTTCGCTCATATCTCTCTTTGGGTCAAACTGAGGCCACGCCCTTCTTATTGAATCAAAGTGATGTTCGTTCTGCATGCAGATTGGTCGTAGAAAGGTAGCATCATAATCGCTTAATCGTCGACAAGAAAAAGCTTGTGGGGGCTTGAAGCGAAGATTACCAATGGGCTTCTCAACGTAAGGAACGCCCAGGAACTTGTAGATAGTTTTCGTTTGCCCGTTATTGGTTTGAATGTCTTGCTGTATTCCGCTGACATAACCCTGTTGAGTTAGGACCCTTCTAGGATGTGTTGGAGAGCCCAGTACAACACCATGGAAGAGATGGAGACTTAGGAAAAGAACCACAGACTTGGACGAAACCAACATGATGGTATTCGAGTGACTGCGGGTGAACTGTACAATAGGAGCGGTAAGAACACATCCTTAAATACCAAGATGTCATTAATTACAAATGGTCTTAATGACCAGCTGTCTAGATGGTAAAGAAAATATTTATTCAACTATTTCAGAAAAAGGAAGTCAGTTATCATTGCACTATAATTCACATAATTGGCATTTTATGGAGAATAARGGAAAAAAATAATAACTGAGATTAACTAAAATGATGTGCTAGATAATAAAAACGATAGAGAAAGTGTGTAAGATTGGTTTTTTTGATTTTTAACTCCTTTGTAGTATAGACGGACGCGATATTTATTCAAAAAAGCTAAAATAAGCTAAAATACACAGTGAGTCCATAAGGAATTACATAGCAAAGTAGAGGCGCACGAAGGCAAACATCACTCACTAAATGTCTATTGATATTCTTTGTTCACTTGTGCTGTTGAGTCAATTACGGTTTTTTAAAGGTCTGTATAAAGTTTCTTCAAGCTAAAAGGATTTTTACTGAACAAGCATTCGTGCTGTAGGCCAAACTCCAGACATGGTGTATAATTATAAGCGCGCGTATTTTGTATTTTACATCTTTAAGATTTTTTGCGCCGCACGCTGATGTTAGACAATCGGTCATRATGCTTGAAAAAGAAACATTCTTTGTTGTTGAGAAAATGTTATTCAGAGAAAAATGTTATTCATTTTCCCATAACACATTGCGGGTGTTGGGAGTAATCGGAAGAAACCGCAGTTGTTAATGCTTCATAAAATCATTTAATGTATCAGCAATAACTAAACAAAGGAAAAAAAGTAGAGAAAAATAAAAGAATTCAAATTTTGAAGAAGTCTTTAATTTAGATTAAACAATGAGCACTTAGCTCGTTAATACATATTCTGTAACACTAAACCAGTCAGCTGTGTAGAACCAGTCGTTTCAACATTTCCTGTTGAATATTGCCCGGGATTCTCGATTTTAAGTGCCGAAGTGAAAATTATTCCTAATTTATTTGTTTAAGTCTTTGAATCTCTGATTTTCTGCTGTAAGTGGTTRTCAAACACTGAGACTTTCACTCAGAAAGTATGCTATAGAAAGTTTGTGAGTCCAGCTGATGAAATTTYGGCACAAGAGAGCAAATGATGTTTGCGGAATCAAGGGTGGTGAAGGCGTAATGCACTCGCGCCTCACCTCTGGGATCTCGGGTTTAGTGGACTTGTTGTTGTTTGGTCCCCCCTTGATTCGAAAGTCTTTTCCTCGG